AAGATCAAGTTGCACAATGCGTTCAATGCCTCCCCTTGTGTCGTGCCTGCGGCCGATAAGATTACAGTACAACAGATGTGCTCAGCGCTGAAATGCACCACAACTGCATATTCAACTTAATCTTGAAGAGACTCAGCATGAAAGTACAGTCTCTTTTGACCGCTATCTTCAATAGCTGCACTACTTTCCAAGAATATGGAAGGTAGCAAACATTATTCCAATCCACAAACCCGGTAAGGGTCCAACTTTGTCTTCAAGCTACAGACCAATCAGCCTTCTTTCAGCGCTGAGCAAATTGTTCGAAAAGCTCATTCTCAACCGTTTGCTCGAGTTTGTCGAGGAAAACAACATTCTCCTACCGGAACAGTTTGGGTTCAGAAAGGGGCACTCCACCAATCACCAGCTAGTACGGGTGATGAATAGCATCCGAAGCAACAAAGCTGTATCCAAGTCCACAGCCATGGCCTTGCTAGACGTTGTGAAAGCGTTTGACAATATCTGGCACGATGGGCTTGTAAACAAGCTTTGTAACTTCAACTTTTCTTTGCATCTTGTTAAAATCACCCGTAGCTAACTGCAACAAAGGTTGTTTAAGGCATCGTTGAATGGTTGTCTTTCAGACACGCAGATCCCGCCTCTCAAGGATGAACAAACTGGCTGTCTACAAACAAATCATAGCACCTGCGATCCTCTACGCAGCTCCGGTGTGGGAATCATGTGCACAGACTCATAGGAACAACATCCAGGTCGCTCAGAATAGAATACTACCTTGATCGTCCCTTCGACACAAGGAGTTTGCGATCTCCACCTTGAGGCAAACGTCCCTAAATTAGATTTCAAAATTTCTGAAATTAAGACTAGAAATGCAACACAACAGAACATTCTTTTATAAGAAACTAGCTGAGTGTGCCCGGCCATGCTCGGGATTCAATATTAGTTTGAGTTTATGCGCCAATTAAAAAAAAGCATGCTATATTGTACGTAGCCCCCCCCCCCCCTCCTCTTATCTAAGTGGCTACCTCCTATGACCTCCACATGCAAAATTTGGTTCCATTTGCTTGATTAGTTCTCGAGTTATGCAGGAATTTCTGTTTCATTTGTATGGGAGCCCCCCTTACAGAGGGGGAGGGGTCTCGAACCATCATAAGAACCTTTCCCTGCCCCTAAAACCCCTGCCTACAAATTTTCACACCTATCGGCTCAGTAGTTTCCGAGTCTATAAGGGTCAGACAGAGAGACAGACAGACAGAAATTCATTTTTATTAATATAGATTTGTGTATAGATGGATAGATGTATAAAGTAGTTGTAGGTTAGTTGTAGTTGTAAAAAGTAGTTATAAGTAGATTTTTTTTCAATTACAAACCAATCTTACCAAGGTAGGAATGCTCTAAACAGGCCAGATAGGTCTAGGAGCTTAAATGATAATTATGAAAAAAATCAAATGAACTAAAGATGAAAAGACGTCTGTGTCACTTGAGAATTCTTCGGAGACGAGCCAGCCAACGGCTGAAAGTCTCCTTAATAAAGATATAAAAAAAAACTTGAGAATTCAAACATGATGACCACACAAATACAAGAAATAAATATCATTTAAAGTTTAATAAATCAAATTGTTTCGTTAATCTTCAGACGTTTGTCGATCTGTCAAGATCCGAATTCCTTCCAGCCAGTACTTTCATCAGGTTTAAACTTAGATAAGTGTTGAGACCAGAATCTCTAATTTAGTTTGAATTTCAGTCCTCAGTCCAAAATCAAAGTTCAAAAACCTGATGCTAAAGGCACTTCTTTTCAGTCTATCAAATTCTAACAGTATCTTGTAGTATCAGTATACTATTGTAACAGTCTCTTGATTTAGTTGAGTAACTGTCTTAGCATCTTGAACAGTTTTTGATAGAGCCGAGAAAAAGGCACCCGCTCCAGCAGTCCCGGCAGGGTAACGGCGCACCACCCAAACCGTTCGGCGTGATAAGTGAACCTTCGCGTGATCGAACAAGCTCGGGACAGCTTTTTTAGGCTCTGAACCATTTGGTGGATTATTTGACAGATGGAAAGTTATCGATTAACCCTGCTATCCGAGCGTGGTTATTTCTGACAGACAAGAAGTTAATTTTGACAACCGTGGCTGAGTTCTGCTCGAAAACCGGGTGATCGACAGCACAGGGATTTTCGAACATAAGAAATAACTTTCGAAACGTCACTTTTAACCACGAGTTTTATGAGAGGATTCATGTTGTAGCTAATGAACTAACGCATTATTGATTTGTGCACGGTGAAATCATTGATATTATTGATCTTTTCTGATCGATAGAACGGAAATGGGCGATTACGACGAAGTAGCGCTCTACCCTATCTCGGGTAGAAAAAATATCTCAGTCTTACACAATTATGATCTTGATTCCAAACAAATTATATAGATCAGCTTGTCAAGAAATAATATCTGAAATTTGTTTCAGTACTATCGCATCGCTACCGAATAATTATGTAATCAAATCAAAAACAAAACGTTAATGTTTAGGTCTTTGTTTGGTTTGCAAATATCAGGATTTATTTTTTGAAATAATTTAATTATATTTTACTTCATATATATAAACTTAAGACACACCCCAAGTAACAATTTTGGTTTTATGACGGTTCTGTAATCTGTAGACCATGATGTGGACTTGTAGAATGCTTTAAAACCTCGATAAAACTTGCAGTGTTGCTTGGGATCCAACGGGGAAATGAAAGATTCTATTAAAGGTTTGCATGACAAGTATGCAAATATCACAATGTTTCGTGATATGAACAGATTCTGTAATGTGGTCGCCGAAAGGTTTTGACAATAATTTTGTAATTTTTATAAAGGCTTATTTTTAGAACAAAGTTCGTTTTCTCAAATGCATTACGTCTAGAAAAACATCTCGTGAGAGTTTTATAGCCAAATATGTATTCTGAATAAAAATTGCTTGTACACTGCAGTCAATTGCAAGAACTTACATTTCGGCACCAACATTTCAAAAGGGCAATACTGACAATGATGCGATGGCGAACTGATAAAAACACTGTCAAAGGTTCTTAAGTGAAACTATTAATTATTCTACATTATTAAGCAATGTAGGCCTCATACTTGCACAGTGCAGTGTATCTCTAAAGAGCATTAAAACAAGTTTTGCCTGTACTTTTTGTAAATTTTGATAAGCGCCTTGTTGAAATTGGATTGTTAATTGCGCCCTTCTGCTGCTTCGATTCACAAGCAACTGTTGTTATTGGATCTTAATCGTTTAGGTCGTTTTTTATCTGTGTCACCGAATGTGGCTTGCAATCGCGAACCCTACCGTTTACAGGCGTAAGATAATACGATTGCGTTAAAAGTCTTCTCGAATGCAGAACCTGGGACAAAGTTACACACTAAGATTATTTCACCGAAATCTGTGAAATTTTACCGAAATCTCAACAGCTCAAGTTTCGGTAAACAGTTCGGTGATTTTTAACAGATTTCCTGTAATTTTTCACCGAATATCTGTGAAAAATCACCGCACTGTTAACCGAGAGAGATTTCGGTAAAATTTCACAGATTTCGGTGAAATAATCTTAGTGTGTACAAAAGAAAAGAATATTGAAAATTGGGATGTAATCTTATATTTCAGTAATACTTTGCCGTTGGTCGAGCAGTGTTATCATTATTCATGAACTGGTTTTTAACAGAAGCAGACAATGTTAACATATTCTTTAACAGCTGACGTCGCACATTGTAGGTACAGGTATTTCTCGATATAACGTAATTGTCACTTTTGACTTCCATTGTCAATATCTCGCTAGTAACAATTAAATCATACAAATTATCACATCTGTCCGATGGGGATATTACTTTGCTTGTTTGAATAATCGTTTACGAAAAATCAGCGATGGTAGCCAAAAGTGACAGTTACGTCAAGGTATACCTGTATACTTTTCCATACATTTCATACAACTGCATGCGGGCTTTACAGCCTACTGCAAACCTAGCTATCAGTTTTTCCTTTTTGTTTACAAAGAAAACAAGGGGCCAAGCAAAGCTCACTATGACATCCCACATAAATTCAATTATGCTTTTTTGTTTATATTAAATCCTTGATGACAAACATTATATTTATATAATTTGAGGAAAATATGTATTTCATTAGAGCATTAGCTGTCTAGTTAAATAAAAAAAAAACTCAGTTTGTTTACAATTGTCAGTTTTGCCCTTTTAAAATGTTGGCACTGATTTGTTGTATGAAACATATGCAGATCCATATCCATATGATAAATCCAACCTAACATTGGATGTAAGAGAAATTTGCTTTGCACGTTTGTTAATGACGTTGACATTCCTTATCGGCTTCAATGCAAATTCCCATTGAAAACGTTAACGCTGACGTTAACGATTAACAACCCTGATGTGCCAGCGTCACATACTGCATACATATGCTGGTTTTCGCGTAAGATCGGCCAAGAACTTTGCATGCAATATGTGACGCTGACACATACAGCATGAAACTTGCTTATTCGACTAAATAACTTGCATGCAAGGTGCCACACAATCAAGTGCGTTCAGTTCATAAATACCTCATGCCTCATTTACACCAGATCATATCTATCACAGCTTTTTGCCCGCCCATAGAACCTGATAATTATTCTTATCCTTTGCAGCTCTTTAACTATGCAATCAAAGGTAATGAACCATCCCCAAATCCTGCATACCAAAATGCCGGTTGAACGGCATGCAGGAATTTGCATTCAAGCCAAGCTTACCACGGCCGTCGATGGTGGTGGGTGAGCGAGACAACGCTCAGCTCTAAACACGTGCTCGCCCCCTACCTGTAGCGTGTTCATGGCTGGTATTTTTCAACCGAATGAACAAAAACAAACTCCATCGGTGGGTGAGATACCCGCAACTGGTTCCGACCAGCACGTGTGGTAGTGAGTTACTCGAACCAGTTGCGTTGACTGCGATGAAAGCAGTCCGAAGCACCAGATAGCATCATTCGGAGTTGGCAAGCTCACCAGCATGGATCGCCGCGTCTTTCGTCTTTCGGAGGTGTACATATGATTCGTGTGGCAGTTGAAGACTCGTTAACAGATGAACCGGCCGAAATAATTAAACATTCAGTTGTTGTCGTGTAAAGAGTGAAGTACTACCGGCCGTAGAATCGTTACATTGGTGCATTTTTGCTGTCCTCGAAGTAGAAGTCCATCCATTCAGCAGCAATGACAATCTACGGAAAATTGGTGCAAATAATTATCATCTCATTTTGAGAAGAAGAAATTGTTTTGTTTTTGTTCATGCCGCATGCTTCTGTTTGGTTAGTGCTTGAACAGCTGTTTCCTGGCTTCTATTCGACCGGCTCTGGTGCATTATGTGAATTGAGAGGTGGTGATTGCATATTGATAGGTAATTCAATAGCTCCGTTGCGTGCCTACTTCCTCGGTGTGGTGTTTTTTTTTTTGTTGTTCTGACTCAATCTGGTGGGTTACAAGCAATCATGAAACAATAATAAGTGACTGTGGTTGATTGATTCTTCCGGCGTGATCAGGTGAGGAGGTCAATTACAGACTTCAGCCATTGGGAAACTGTTTATCAGAACGTGATCACTGTGTTGTGGGTGAGCTGTGCCGGAATAAGACGATAGAAAACCACGCTGCTGTAAAGTATAACTTACTGTTCTATGATAATTTGAGCTGGATAGTTAAGATGTGATTATTTGTTTAAGCTCAATTATTTATGATTGTCCAAATGACTGCTTATGATCGAGAAATGGAACACAGAATGGATACCTACTTCGATGTCAATACAGCTTTGAATCGGTATCTCGAATATCCTAATTAGGTCTCAAAAATCTTTTTTTTTTTTAATCTTTATTAAGGAGACTTTCAGCAGGCTGGCTCATCTCCAGCAATATCATCACATAAATTGTCCACGGAAAGGTATTAATTTGACAATTTTAATGCATCAAGTTTATATTTCTTGAAATAGTGTATTGATAACTATGGCCAAACTTAACTTCATTCGTCAATCCCTTATCATTCGTTTCACAATCAGTTCTATTAACTAAAATCTAAAAATTCCGACTCTGACAAACAATTTGACTATAATAATAAATACTTGATTATGAAAACAACATCCTAGCATGGTTTCAAAGCCGGCTAAATGTTATCATATATGAGCACCTTATTTGTGTCTTTTTTTCTGAACCGCTTATACCGTATACTTTCACAATTATTACATTAAATCGAGCCAGTTGATTTTTGGTTGTTTCAGGTATCGCAAATTCGTGTCTTTAGTAACATTTTCAACGAATAAATTGTTTTAGCCATCCACCTCGCATCAGGATCATTTTTCAGTCGCTATAAATCGATGGGGACGCATGGTAGTCTAGACATACAAGAGTATAGAGCAAAATCCCAAAACTTGATAACTTAAAAATATATAACTCAATAACGAAAAAAAAAAAAACATTGGTGCGTTTGTGATATATTCTGTAAAAAAGCCTAAATTTTGAAAGAAAAATATAAAAAACATGTTGCGGCATCCATATACAAACCATGAAAACCATAAAAAAAAACAAATATAATCAATGCTTTTCAATACGAAATCTCAAATTTTTTTAATCATTATTTTAGTTACTTTTCATTTGATATTTTGATCTTTGAAATCGACCCACTGGTTCAAAACTTATGAAAAAAGGAATTTTGAAAAAAAAAAACGTTTTTTTTTAGCCTGGAAATGGTCGCCCTAATGACCAAATAAAAAATACGGGTCTTGCGTTGTGCGTTAAGGAACAAAACAATACAATTTTTTTCAGGCAGGCAGTGGAAGGATTCCGTTAATCTTGTCCATTAACGGAATCCTTCCAGTTTTCATTTTCAGTACAACTCCGGTGCAGCTCGCAGAAGCACTGCCGGCGCCGGTGGTGTAGTGGTAAGCGTGACTGCTTTCTAACACCCCAATGGGTCTGGGTTCAATCCCAGCCGAGGTCGGTGGGATTTTTCTGAGGCATAAAAATCTCTGGTCACGTCTTCCTTCGGAAGGGAAGTAAAGCCGTTGGTCCCAGCTCATGTGTGTTGAATGGGTGCGATATCCTACGCAGGTGTGAAAGCTGCCTTCCTTGCACATTCGATTGCCGTCAAGGGATGGCAATCGATGTCCGTCGGTGATTGGCACTAGATTGCGGAACAGAGACCGACGTGCAGAAGCACGTGCATGAAAACTGTACACGCATGTTTTGACCAGGTTAAAGGGATGTCTACTGATGTGTTCCTAAAATTTTAGCTAAGTAGTCGCTCCCAATATTGACCAGCGCCCTTAAAATATAAATCTTCCTAAAATAACGATGCGTCCGTCCTCGAATAATGCTAAATGGCACATCCCATGTGGTACTCGTACAAGAAACCTTACTTTCGTAAAGGAAACTTTTATCTAAGAATCCTCGTGAACCCAACCTTTGCTACTTTTAGCAAAAGTGGAATGCCAAACTCCTCGAGTATGTGTGCGTGTCAATAACGGAATCGTCGCTACGCAAATCATTGAAATAAGAACCAGAGATGTTTGTGCTGTTAGAATTGATGTTACCTTTGGAAACCTTAATAAGCAATATTGTTTCAGTGTCAGGTTTATAGCGTTTACATCAGGTTCTTGTTTAAGACGTTCTCAAGAACTAGTGACATTACTACCGGAAGTGTTGAATTAGTCAAGAAAATTTAACACTTTCGGAAGTGAGTCTAACTTTGAGCGATTCAACATTTTCCCTACTGAGCTCAAGCTTTTCTGAAGTTATTAAATATGTTATGTGCTGAATACACGGATTAACTATTTCCATTTTCTTTTTCGAAGTGATTTAAAGCTCTTATAAAGTTCAGTACTGTTCGAAGTGATTCTGTACGCACTAAGCTTTTCTTAAATGGTCCAGTTTTTTTTTTCCAAAGTGATCTCAATCTTTTATCAAGTTATTCAGTACTTTCTGAAGTGATTCTCAACTTTTCCAAAGTGATTCAAAACTTTCCTTATGTAATGTAACGTCAGTATAGACAGATCTTGATTTTGGAAACGTAATTCATTACTTTCTATACTACAGTGATTCATTACTTTCAGAATTGATTTCAACTGTTCAAAAGTGATTTAATTCTTTCTGAAGTGATTCAGTACTTTTCGGAGTGATTCCAAACATTTCTGAAGTGATTCAATACTTTCAGGAGTGATTCTGAATGTTTCTGAAGAGATTCAGTACTTTTTTTAAATGATTCATTGCTTTCCGAAGTGATAATGAACATTCTGAAGCGATTCAGTAGTTCCGAAGTGATTCCGAACGTTCCTGAAGTGGTTAAGTGCATTCCTAACTGATTCAATTATTTTCGAAGTGATTCCGTTCTTGCGAAAATGATAATAAACTTTCTGGGCTGATTCAGTACTTTCTAATGCAGGGCTGTTACAACAGGCGCGGATTTTGTAAATTTCGCGGATTTCGCGATTTTCGCGATTTTCGCAGATTTCGCGATTTTCGCGGATTTTTCGCGGATTTGAACTTTCAGTCGCGAAAATCTCGGAAACATTAAATGATGTCGTGAAAATAGCGAAAAGACTAATGTGCTGTCTCAAAAATTGTGGAATTCATTGTTACCTTTCCGTCCCGGATTATTTTGCTGTCATCAATTCCATATTTTGCTGTCATCAATCCAAATGATCTCAATTCCATAAGTCACAGGTCTGTCCATTGTGAAACATTTTCCTTTTTTTTCCAATACTAACATAGCATTTTTCGTTGTTAAATCATAAACGAATCGTATATATGCGAGCAATTGCCATGTATACCGGATATTCTAGGTTCTCCAAATCGTCCTTGAGTTCAGTTGATTTGTTCTACTATATCAACTAAGACTTCAATAATGTCTGTAGTATCGAAATATGTCCAAATAGATTCAAAATGTCTATGTGAATTGTACCTGACCTTTTGCTACGTAAATGTTATAGGTTCTGAAATCATTATGGAGATCAGATTATTTTTCTACTAGATCACTGAAGACTAATTCAATATCTGTAGTATCGAAATATGCCCAAACAAATTTGCAGTGTCTATGTGGATCATGCCAACCTTTTTCCGTGTATGCCAAATGTTCTAGGATTTCCAAATCGATATTTCAATACTACAGATATTATCCTAGTCTTTATTGATCTAGTAAATCATATGGGTATTCCAAGTGCACTTTGAATCAAACCAGACCCCAAGGTACTTGAAAGACAATGATTGAGTAATGTTTCTGCCCAAAAGATTAAGATGCATTTGCGCTGGGTACCGCTTTCGAATAAACACTACCAGTTCAGTTTTCTGCGGCGAGAATTCGATGCCTAGATTCCTAGCCCCTAGACGACAAGTTATATAAGGAACTTTGCAATGGTCCTTGCAAGTCCACGGTATGTGGACCTCTTACGGAAACCACACCGTCACCTGCAAGTTGTCTTAGCGTGCATGGTTCTGCCAAACAGCTGTCGATATCTTTGACATAAAAGTTATAAAGAAGAGGGCTGAGACATGAGCCTTGGGGGAGGCCCATTTAGCTAATTATGGAAGTTGTCAGTTGTCCAAAGGAAAAGTTCATTTACTTGTCTGACAACAAATTGTACAAGAAATTATTTAAAATTCCAGAAAGTCCATATCTGTGCAGATTGTCTGACAGGATTTCAATGGAAACTGAATCAAAAGCCCCCTTAATGTCCAAGAATACTGAAGCCAATTGCTCTTTGTGCGTAAAGGCCAGTTGAATATCTGCGGAAAGCAGCGCTAGACAATCGTTTGTTCCTTTGCTCTTGCGGAACCCAAACTGTTTATTTGATACCAAGTTATTTGTTTCGACCCACTAATCGAGTCTCCGAAGGATCATTTTCTCCAACAATTTCCTAATGCACGAAAGCATCGCAATCGGACGAGTTATGGTCAGACGCTGGTTTGCCAGGTTTTCGAATGGCTATTACTTTGACCTGTCTCCATTCAGGCGGTATAATGTTGTTTTCTAGTAAGGAATTGAATAAGCACTAGCTATTTCTAATTTTCAACCAAACTTGTCTACCGGGGGCGCAAGCCACTTGAAATTTAACATTTTTATTCAACTTTTAACGCAACTTGTCTACCAGAAACGCTAGCTATTTAAAATTTTGTATTGTTTTTAAGATTTAACTTCTTTTTTTTTCTTTTTCCTACTATCTACATTAAATTGACCGATTTTAATCATTTTAAACATACTTACCAGGGGCGCCAGTCATTTCAAATATATCCTTTTTAAATGTTTCACATTTCAAATCTTACGATTTTGATCATTTTTCTCTGAACTTGTCTACCAGGGGCGCTTGTCATTTCAAATTTACTGATATTCAAATTTAACTGATCAGACGCTAGTTGCTTC